CCCTAGTCAGGAGACTACAGACAACCCTAGTCAGGAGACTACAGACACCCCTAGTCAGGTCACTACAGACAACCCTAGTCAGGAGACTACAGACAACCCTAGTCAGGAGACTACAAACAACCCTTGTCAGGAGACTACAAACAACCCTAGTCAGGTCACTTCAAACAACCCTAGTCAGGAGACTACAGACACCCCTAGTAAGGACACTACAGACAATCCTAGTCAGGAGACTACAGACAACCCTAGTCAGGAGACTACAGACCCCCCTAGTAAGGACACTACAGACAATCCTAGTCAGGAGACTACAGACAACCCTAGTCAGGAGACTACAAACAACCCTTGTCAGGAGACTATAAACAACACTAGTCAGGTCACTTCAAACAACCCTAGCCAGGAGACTACAGACACCCCTAGTGAGGAAACTACAGACAATCCTAGTCAGGAGACTACAGACAACCCTAGTCAGGAGACTACAGACACCCCTAGTCTGAGTACTGAGTCAGATAATAGTGATAAGGTGCTCACTGAGTACTGAGTCAGATAACAGTGATAGGGTATCACTGGGTCCTGAGACAAATAACAGTGATAGGGTGCTCACCAAGTACTGAGTCAAATGACAGAGAGAGGGTGCTCACTGAGTACTGAATAAGATAACTCTGATAACATACTCACTGAGTACTGAGTCAGATAATAGTGATAAGGTGCTCACTGAGAACTGAGTCAGATAACAGAGATAGGGTGCTCACTGAGAACTGAGTCAGATAACTCTGGTAAGGTGCTCACTGAGTACTCAATAAGATAACTCTGATAACATCCTCACTGAGTACTGAGTAAGATAACAATGATAAGGTGCTCACTGAGAACTGAGTCAGATAACAGTAATAGGGTGCTCACTGAGAACTGAGTCAGATAACTCTGGTAAGGTGCTCACTGAGTACTAAATAAGATAACTCTGATAACATCCTCACTGAGTACTGAGTCAGATAACAGTGATAGGGTACTCACTGAGTACTGGGTCAGATTACAGTGATAGGGTACTCACTGAGTACTGAGTCAGATAACAGTAATAGGGTGCTCACTGAGTACTGAGTAAGATAACAATGATAAGGTGCTCACTGAGTACTGAGTCAGATAACAGTGATAGGGTACTCACTGAGTCAGATAACAGTGATAGGGTGCTCACTGAGAACTGAGTCAGATAACTCTGGTAAGGTGCTCACTGAGTACTGAGTCAGATAACAGTGATAGGGTGCTCACTGAGTACTGAGTCAGATAACTCTGGTAAGGTGCTCACTGAGTACTGAGTCAGATAACAAAGATAGGGTGCTCACTGAATACTGAGTCAGATAGAGGAAGAGGGTACTCACTGAGTACTGAGTCAGATAACAGAGATAGGGTACTCACTGAGTACTGAGTCAGATAACAGAGATAAGGTGCTCACTGAGTACTGAGTCAGATAACAGAGATAAGGTGTTCACTGAGTGCTGAGTCAGATAACAGAGATAGGTTCTCACTTAGTACTGAGTCACATAACTCTGGTAAGGTGCTCACTGAGTACTGAGTCAGATAACAAAGATAAGGTGCTCATTGAGTACTGAGTCAGATAACAGTGATAGGGTACTCACTGAGTACAGAGTCAGATAACAGTGATAGGGTACTCACTGAGTACTGAGTCAGATAAAAGAAAGAGGGTGCTCACTGAGTGCTGAGTCAGGTAACTTTGGTAAGGTGCTCACTGAGTACTGAGTCAAACGACAGTGATAGGGTGCTCACTGAGTACTGAGTCAGATAACAGTGATAGGGTACTCATTGAGAACTGAGTCAGATAACAGTGATAGGGTACTCACTGAGTACTGAGTCAGATGAAAGAAAGAGGGTGCTCACTGAGTACTGAGTCAGATAACAGTGATAAGGTGCTCACTGAGTACTGAGTCAGATAAAAAAAAAAGGGGGGGGGGTGCTCACTGAGTACTGAGTCAGATAACAGTGATAGGGTGCTTACTGAGTACTGAGTCAGATAACAGTGATAGGGTACTCACTGAGTACTGAGCCAGATAAAAGAAAGGGTGCTTACTGAGTACTGAGTCAGATAACAGTGATAGGTCAGATAATAGTGATAAGGTGCTCACTGAGTACTGAGTCAGATAACAGTGATAGGGTACTCACTGAGTACTGAGTCAGATAAAAGAAAGGGTGCTTACTGAGTACTGAGTCAGATAACAGAGCTAATGTGTTCACTGAGTACTGAGTCAGATAACAGAGATAAGGTGCTCACTGAGTACTGAATCAAAAAACAGTAATAAGGTGCTCACTGAGTACTGAGTCAGATAACAGTGATAGGGTGCTTACTGAGTACTGAGTAAGATAACAATGATAAGGTGCTCACTGAGTACTGAGTCAGATAACAGAGATAAGGTGCTCACTGAGTACTGAATCAGATAACAGTATTAAGGTGCTCACTGAGTACTGATTCAGATAACTCTGGTAAGGTGCTCACTGAGTGCTTAATCAGATAACAGTGATAGGGTACTCACTGGGTACTGAGTCAGATAACAGAGATAAGGTGCTCACTGAGTACTGAATCAGATACCTCTGGTAAGGTGCTCACTGAGTGCTTAATCAGATAACTGTGATAAGGTGCTCACTGGGTACTGAATCAGATAACTTTGGTAAGGTGCTCACTGAGTGCTTAATCAGATAACTGAGAAAATGTGCTCACCGAGTGCTGAATCAGATAACAGTAATAAGGTGCTCACTGAGTACTGAATCAGATAACTCTGGTAAGGTGCTCACTGAGTGCTTAATCAGATAACTGTGATAAGGTGCTCACTGGGTACTGAATCAGATAACTCTGGTAAGGTGCTCACTGAGTGCTAAATCAGACAACTAAAATAGGGTGCTCACTGAATTGTGTACTCATTGAGTCAGACATGTTTAAAAGAGAGAATTTAGTTTGAGTAGTCCACCTGAACTGAGAACATAGACCACAACACAAACATGTTTTTAAAATTATATTTACAAGGATATTGTTAAAGAGATGACAGTCTGTAACTTGTGTATGTCATAACATCAGTAAAGATTTCTAATTGCTAGTGATCAAAAGACAAGGAATCACAGCAGTATATCAATTTCCGGAGATCATTTCATCAGATAATAACTTCAAACTCCATGTGAACGGAAACAAGAGTAGTAATTTAGCAGCGTAATTATGAGTCTGGTAGACAGAGAGGTGGGGAGGGTATATGATCTCTGACTGATGGGTCGGACTGTGGGCAATTTCATTCATATTGGGAAATGCACATCAGACAGCCTCCCTGTGCGCATGGAAGTACACCGTATCACACGACTGTCTGCTAATTTGATTTGAGAGTTTGTGTCCACACAGGCCTGAAGTTGTGTTATGAGGGCTGTATTCGGCTGATAGAATGATGTACCGGCTAAATAGCATTATGGTATGTGACACACTGGACAATTCTTTGAATAAATATTGGACCTGTCAGGAGGTGTCGGCTATGATTACACGATTGGTTGAAACCAACAAATTTTTCTTGCTTCTCGCACTCTCCGATCACGAAATCACTCATCTCCAATCTAACACACACTTACTTCTGATCTACGATTGACACCTAAGCCAATTGGTAAATAATCTCTGCAATTACCATCTTCACACATGTTCACCCTATGGAGACAAAGCTCTAACATTTTTATCCAAAATTCTATCTCACGCACATCTATATCTGATATACGTTACTGTGCCAAGTTTATGGAATTTGTTTGGAGGAGGTATAGTAATTGATAATTGAAGTATTTCCCAGGTAAACGAACTATAAATCTATCAAGAGACAAAAACCCATAGGAGGTGAAAATCATTGAAGCATCACAGGGAATGGTTAGATCACCATTTCTGGTAATTAACTGATATGATATGTTTGAAAACAAGGGGCCTTGATAGCTCACGTTCAGATCTTTTAGTTTTAATTTTAAGGGCCTCAATGTCCTGATCCACTCATCTGTGTTAGTTGTCTTACCATTTGAATGACCTTGTGATCTTCACTAAGAAGTTAAAAAGTTCACAACATTGATATGCCACAGGCAGTGGATAGACTTACTGTTTAAGAATACTGCTTTCCAAATTTTTCATCTCACTGTCAGAGGATTTTATTTGTGCCTCAACTTGTCGCACACTGATGACTGAAACAATAAAACACATGTGTGAAAACCTGTTATTATTTATGAAAAACTAAGGTAAAAAAAAAAAAAAAAGACACAAGTTGTTACAACTCGTCTGAGGATTACATTGGAATCAGGTAACTTCCTGGGTTTGACAGCTGAAAAAATCAGAAAAATTCATCATTTATTCCTGTCATATATCACTTAAAACAATATGTTTTCTGAGAAATGAGAAGTGATATAAAGTGGAATATCTAGTATTTGTACCACTACACAGCAAAACAAATGATCTATTTGAATCTGTACACAGGTAAATGTTGTAGAAACCACTGGTGGTTGAATATGAACACAGATAAATGTTGTAAAAACCACTGGTGGTTGAATATGAGCACAGATAAATGTTGTAGAAACCACTGGTGGTTGAATATGAACACCGATAAATGTTGTAGAAACCACTGGTGGTTGAATATGTACACATTTTGATATTGACTAAAAATTGCTGAAATGGCCCAATGCTCTCAAATTCCAATATTTTTCTGAAGGTTCTGTAAACTACATTCACAATCATTTATACTTTTATAAAGATTTTTTAAAGTGCCTCAGAATCAGGATATAAGAAGCTTACAAATAAGAATATATATATATATTTAAAAGACTTTCAAGAAAGAGCAGTCTTTGCAATGCTCAGCAATAAGAAAACAAAGTCACTACTGTATAAACAGCATTGATAAAACAAGTGATATGTATACATTGAGCAGGCTGAACTTCTAACCTCCAAAATTAAAAAGCATCACAATAACAATTAACTGTCATTGATGCTCCAGCAGAAAATGAGTTTGGTAGTGGTGTGTAGATGGTCGATGAAGGATGCATTTCAGAAATGAAGTTGTAGTAGTGGCCTCTTCACCATCACAGGTATTAAGTCCGACCTGTTAGGGTTATTTGGGACCTAATCTATATATGACCAATTACCTAATTGAATTGAGAGCACAGTTTACTAGTAGCAGCTGCCTGACAGGGATACAATGGGAGACAGGGCCGTCAAGTATAGTCATCTTACTACGACAGACAAATATGGAATGTACCCTACAGGTCACTTAGATTTTAAAAGCTACACTTATCATCCTAAAACAAAAAAACAACATGTCCTTTAATGAACAAGACCTGTTGAGTTAATGGATAAAACGTGGAAAAAATTACATCGTTCAGAACTAATCAATGTTATGGCCATACTCTAACAGACGTTCTCTTACAGGCAGCCAAAGGCTGGACTATACTGACCAGTGACCAACATGGACAAGGACCAGCACGGCTCTAAGTAATACCGACTATTGACCAACATGAGCAAGGACAACCAGAACTCTGACAAACTGGACGAGGCCCAAAAACACTTAAGGTAAAACTGATCACTGAACACTGTAGACAAGGCCCACCAGGGCTCTAGGTAAAACTGACCACTGACCAATATGGACAAGGCACAACAAAAGCATTTGTAAAACTGACAACTGACCAATGTAGAAAAAAAAAACCAGAACTCTAAGTAACGGTGACCACTGACCAACATGGGGACAAGGACCACCAGATCTCCAGACAATACTGACCACTGACCAATGGGTACAAAACAAACAATATCTCCAGACATTACTGGCCACTGACCTTTATGTATACAAGGACAACAAGATCTCTAGACAATACTGACCACTGACCAATGGGTACAAGACCAATCATATCTCTAGACAATTCTGACCACTGACCTATATGGGGACAAAACGAACCATATCTCCAGACAATTCTGACCACTGACCTATATGGGGACAAGGACAACCACATCTCAAGACAATACTGACCACTGACCTATGGGGACAAGACTAACTGGTGCAAACATAGACAATGCTTAACATAAACTCTAGGTAAAACTGACCATTGACCAGCAAGTACAAGGACCACCAAAACTATGCAAAATACTGACCACTGACCAATGTAGAAGAGGATAACAAGAACTCTTGGCAATACTAACATAAATTTGATATCATAAAATATATTTTATGATACATGTATCAAGAAATCAATAAATCAGGGCACTGTTTTCACGGCAAGAAATTAAATTGTTAAAATCAACCAATTTAATTCTTGATATCAAAAAGAAAATTTAATATCAAAATATCAATTTCTTGATATTAGGAATAAAAACAAGAGGCCCATGGGCCTTAACGGTCACCTGATATATTTATACAGAGAGTTGATTTTGTTTTTAACATGAACAGAAATATTATTCAAAGTGACAAAAAACAATAAAACCACCTTACTCAATATCTAGCATACAGATTTCAGACTAAAAAGGATTTGAAACTAGCACCTCTGATTCTTAACAAGGAAAATGAAGAAATTTTAGCACACTGACTCCTTTGAGCCCCACCCTACAGCCCTTGGGGGTAGGGCTGGCTCAAAATTTTCAAAGTATCAAACTGTCAATTCAAGGTTATAATTCCAATCAAGTTATTAACATGTAAT